AGCAGTCTAGTTTACTGTTCAGATGATACAGAACTTTTCATTATTAATATACTAAGCAAAAGTAAAATACTACGAGTAACCTAAATAATTTGAATCGACCCGTTTAATATTGAGTATTGATGTACAATAAATTTCTAAGAAGGTTTTCGAGTATTTCGTAAAAAAAAGCTGTTGACTTGAGCTTTTGTTGAAGTATAAAAGCGCTTGGTTATATTGAAAAGAGCAATAACATAACACGAAATAAATTATCCGCCATAGAATTCGTTTATGAAAGATGAAATATATACCGACAAAATAAATAAATAAAGACTCCAAAAGATGGCAATATTTTTCTTGATTTTGAATACATTCTATTTAAATAGGCAATAAGGATATTTTAATTTTTTTAGACTTTTGTCAAACGTAACACGTATGGTTACGTCATAATGACCAGATGAGCTTTAAAATTACTCTTCCGGAATAAAAATTAATTGAAATATTGAAAAACAAAATAAATTAAAAAGCTTAAAATGCTACCAGCACCGAAAGGTAATACGTTAATCTAGAATCCAATTTAAGTCGAATTAGTCTGTAGAGTCATACAGTAACAGTTACAAATTTACAAATGTTACTGTTTGTAATTTACATCATATTTAAGCTCACAACAACCGAACAAAAAGCGAACCCACGTCTCGAAATGTGTACAAACCATCGTTCTGTTTATTTTTAAAATAAAAAATAAAACGCAAGATAATAATAATTAAAATAACGACTATGTACAGTGTATGCGTTACCCCGACGGTAATGGTAATTTTCTTCAATTACAGCCGCTAATGTTACCAATTTAGAATTTTGCGACGACAAATGTTTAGTTATTATAGAAACGCTCAACCACATTTATGTAATGATGCAGTTCCACTTAAACATATTGTACACTCTTATGTACACTGTGCTGAGCACACAAAGCGCACTTTGCTAGTACTATTTGCACGAGTACGTGATATCTTTATGTACTCATAAGCTCTAACGCATGTTTTCGTTTGTGCACGAAAAGCGCTCAGCCGTCACTTTCTGTCATTTAAGAGCTGTACATACTTGTGCGATGGCCGTTTTGGATACTGTCAAACAACGTTTTTAGAGAACATCACGTGGCCACACAACTCGAACGAACTCGCTACTGAACGCAAATAAAAAGATCTATTTGTAAGCCGATGAACAGTTATTATTTAATGTAATTTATTTTTTACGCGCCTGTGGTGTAATGTAATTCAACTTTGTTTTGACGTTCGTTAAAAAACCGGCATCTCAGTAGATCTACCGCATCGCGAGCTGTGCGCCCCCGAGTGTTGCACACAACTTAATAGGCACATTATAACATTACGTTGCACAGAAATAAACAGATGTGTACCGTAAAACAAAACTGTTAACTTAATACAAATAATAGAATCGTGTTACCCTAAGTTTTAGGACTGCGTTTCCGCCATTGTGCAGTTTGACTTCATCCTAACGATTACCCAAAGTTAAGCGAACATTATGTTCATAGAATTTATATTTTATTACACTTCCAGAGAAATTCCACGAACTTAATCCAAAACGCAGTTTAATGGGCTATAAAAACAAATTAATTAATAAACCGTTTGCCAGATAATCATTAATTTCATAAGAATAAAATTCCGTGTAAATTTAAATTATAATGAAGCTGTCTAAGAACAAACGTTTTGACGCTGTTGGTAAAAATTCCGGTCATTTAGAATTTTGGAACGTGGCCCAGTAGAGTAGCGCTTCATCGAAACAACCGTTTATGCAAGCGAATAGGGTAGTAAATAAATAAAAAAAATCAAATCAAATAGTAATAACGTTTAGCCGGAAAAAAAATTTATGCCGAGCAAAGTAACGCTGGCGGCAGTTGCCATTGACAGTTAAAGGCTATTTTAGCTTTGGCCGCCGTTGGAAAACGGTTGTGGGATTTTAAGTTCTGTCTACGCATTGGACCGCAGCCATTTATACCTCGGGCCAAATAACAATATTCTCCTCAGTCACACGAGGCGTTTAAATTGCATACACGTTGTATAATGTCAAATTCGTATATTACGCCATTCGGTGAATACGAGCAGCCCCGCAGGGTCTTTGATATATTTGGCCTGCCTTCCAAAAAAATAGAACCTCCCTAGCTTCGCTTTTGGCAGTAATTTCAAGCACATTTCAGCCCCTTTGATCTGAGCTTTTTCATCGCAACAACATCACAAACGTACCTCTCGTAGTACTCGTGAAGCTATTGAAATATGCTTTGTAAGCTTAGCATGCACAATAAATAAATCGTATCTTAATTTAAAACATTCATTCTAAATAAATAAATAATTGAAAATAAAGATGGTCGAGGGATATTATTTTTTTCATCACGCAAAAATATATATTTTTAAAAGTTCATTAATAACCCTAAAAATAATTATCATTATACTAGACCTCGAAAAAACAATAGCCATTTTAATCGAATACTACAGATGGATTCATTGGATTTTTTTGTTGAAATAATTTATAAAATTAAACAAATGGAAAATAAACATGGAAAATCATTCAATACAAACATTATTCCTGTTACTACAATATATTTAACAAAAAATTTTCAAACGACATAAAAAAGTTTTTTTTTTAGGTGAAATAAATTGATATTAATTTTACTTTAAAATAAAAATAAATAAATTCTTTGATAAAATTAAAAATTTTATTGCGAAAATAACAACGTTTAATACTTTAATACGTACATTGCGCATCAATTGAAAAATTATACTGCGAAAGACAATAGTAGTATTACTTAAAGTACCACTCTATAAGTATTAATCTATAAGAGAATTATTATTACTATAAGAAGAGGACCATTCGATAATCAAATACGATGTAGTTAGAGATAAATATTTAATATGTATAGGTCAGTAAAATACTATGAACGATGAGGTAAGAGAGAGGCTTTTACCTGATGTTGTATATAGTTCTGGAATTCTAACCGTACTCTATTGGACTACACAAATCGATTAGCAATGTTCAAAGGGAATGAAGGTTTCATTATTCAAGAAATGTCTTGTTCGTGTACAGTGACGTCAAACGCAAGACAACATCACGTCATTTACAGTTTTTGAAAGTGTCCTTCAAGGGTCGTTGGCAAATATGTACTTGAGCAATACGAACTAAGTAATATGAGAATATAAAACAATAATATTCTCAATAAAAAATTGGCATTCGTCATGTCATCTGCCGTTTTTTAACGTTTCTGAACCGAGTAAGGATAATTTGATTCCTACAATTCGAGAAGGTATACCTATACCATATAGATTTGGTAATACACAAACCTTTACGCATACTTTTGCTAAAGGCGTTTAAATAAATCAATACTCGTTTAATGAACTTTACGTACAATAACGTCTGCCTATTGAAATATCTCAAATGTAAATTATGAATTTTGACAATTTGCTAAGTTACGATTACACGAAAATAAATATAAGTATAATGAAAAAATAATAATTAAGTATTATTATTTAATTACATTAACATTTTTAAGTAGAAAATTATAATAAGGTCAAATTAACCACGATAAACAAAGTTTGA